CCAGGACTCGCTTGATTTTTTTATCTCAATGAGACCTATCCTGGTTAAATAAATGTACAATTAAATACAAATAAATAAACTGAACAACTCACTGTTCTTTGATCTTGTGAGCGGCCGTGCTCCCCACGCTGCGGGTGTGCAGCTGCGTCTTGCAGCCGTGCCACAGGTAGATGATGGCCTTGTTGATGTTGAGCAGGATCATGGAGGCTCTGGAGCGCAGGGAGCTGCAGTGACTCGCCACCTCCAGCAGGTGGCCCTCCACCGGCACCTCGCCCCGCACGCAGTACAGACGCCAATCGCCTGCACACAGACCATACATCGCTTATTTATACTGTATATATATAGCTTTATTTTATTTACTCCACACATGGCAGTTATTTTAAAACAGAACATGTACACTTATACTGGGTGTTTTTTTGTTTTGTTTTTTATAGCGCATGGTGGAAAGGAGCAGGGAGTCGAAAATGAAATAACCATAAAAAAGTCAAATTAAAGCAATATTCTTTCAGTCACAGTTGCTTACAAATACTGACACATAAAACCAGAACACAATCAAAAGTCAACTTCATACTGTCTAAATACGCTTTCTTTATACATGTTCTTAAACATAAACATGTTCTTACAGCCCTTTAAATCATTCGTCAAAAATCATCATCATTATTGAACAAGGACCATGCATAGAGATACTTTCATCTGAAAAAACATGATAAAACAATCATGACATACGTAGAACAAACAAAACCATAACCCATTTTTTGTAAGTATATTAAAAAAGATACCTGACTTTATTTCCTTTACTTTTAAAGCTGTACATAAGTAGAATAAAAATATTTCAAAAGTTTACTCTGATTGTTCTCCTCATCCTCCTCCCTCTTGCCAGCGTGGACGATCATCCCTCCGTTGAAGCACTGAAGGAAACATGGAGGCTCTTTCCCCTGCTGCACCTGGACCTGGAACACAGACCCGGGGGAAACAAGTGATGAAAATAATGCAAAACACTACTTTAAGAGTCAGATTCTTAACGAAATCTACTAAAATAAAGTACTTCATTATCTAGTGTTCAGCTTTTATCCACAAAAGTGTATCTTTCAGTAACTTTTTGAGAGAATTAAGCATAAATCTGTCAAATGTTGAAAACGGCATTGTTTCACTGAAATAACGTCAAAATCAGAAACTCCCATTAATGACTCCATAAAGGTATCTGGATAATTGAATGATGTAACATCTCAATATCATTCATTAAAATAATATTTATTGCATTACATTTGACTGATTTGCGATTTGATTCTTGATATTGATGGGAATGAGCATTTTTACATCATAAATTATCATTATCATTGATGAATAGATTCAAATAATGATTTTTTTAGAAGATCTGTACCAGGCTTTTTCATTAGGAATAATTAATGTCTTAATAAATTATTATTCTAAAAAAAAAAAAAAATGACACGTGTTCAATAAATAGACTAATACCATTTTCTTTTTGTGGTCCACATTGCGATCGCGATACAATTTCAATTAATTGTGCAGCCCTAGTTAGTTTCTTATCAGGGACACCGAACATCCAAAGATTACCATTACATCGCTGGAATATTGAATCGTCTACTTTTTACTTTCTGTTATATTATAAGCCTCATCTCTTGTACCTGCGCTCCTCTCTCCTCGTCCAGCTCCACCGTCATCAGCGCCGACGTCCCTTTCTCGCTGACGGTGGAGTTTTGGCCCTGCCAGAAGAAGTAGCAGCATCGCTCCTTCCCCGGCCCGCTGCTCCTCACCTCCGGGTTCTGCCTGCGACCCACTGGGACACAAAGAAATCAACAAACTGTTCTGAACCGTCAATAATACTGATGTTATTGCGGGGGAGACAGAGTTCATCTCTTGTTACACTCTGGACATCTTAACCTTGAAGCTTTAACAAATTGCTCTCCTCACTTTGATCCTCTCCTCCTCTGATTTATGATCAGAATTTCATGTTTTAGGTGTTACTTGTTAACCCAGTCATATACTTTTTACTGTTTTTGGGGTGACATGCAGCTGGGATTTGACTTAATGAATGCCATTCAATTCAGGCACAACAACATAATTAAAATATTCCAAATGATACTGTATACGTGTTTATCTATGTGTTTTTTATGACTCATCTGAGTATTTGACTCTATCTGAATATTCCAGATGAAGAACATCTCACCTTCCTGATATTTATGAGCATCACCAAGCCTGAAAGATGTTTATTTGAAAGATTAAGGCTTTCAAATGTTGTGGTGCTTTTGAATGTAAAGTTCCTCAAACGAATAATACATCATTGTCAAGTTTTACAATCTCTAAAACAAAATGATAAGTATTTTGTCATTCACTTTGTTTAAACTTTCTCTCGAAGGGATCTACTGTAGATTTTCTAAGTCTTATCTGTTGTTGATGTCTGTCAAAATCAGTCCTCACTAAACAGGGTATGTTTGTTTTATAATTTGCAATATGCTCTAGTGACTCGATTTTTTTCTTTATACTATAGAGGTCGTAATTTGCCTCGACAAGTAAACTCAGGGGCTGGAGTCCATGTAACTTATACCTCATTCACACCAACGCAACTCCGGTTCAAGCTCCGTGCTAGAGCTTTTCAGGTTCAGAACCGGTTCTTCGGTTTAGCTCCGGCTCTTTTCACACCGCCCAGAGTCCGACTGGTGCTGCGTCATTGCGTCATCGTTTGCGTCATGACGTAACTGTTTGNTTCACGTCACCACCGCTAAGCTAAAGGAGGCTAATGTTGGGCTATAAAGGAACTACAGCACGGTCACATGATCCTTTAGCTTAGCGGTGGTGACGTGAAGTCATGTGACCGTGCTGTAGTTCCTTTATAGCCCAACATTAGCCTCCTTTAGCTTAGCGGTGGTGACGTGAAGTCATGTGACCGTGCTGTAGTTCCTTTATAGACCAACATTAGCCACCTTTAGCTTAGCGGTGGTGACGTGAAGTCATGTGACCGTGCTGTAGTTCCTTTATAGCCCAACATTAGCCTCCTTTAGCTTAGCGGTGGTGACTTGAAGTTATTTGACCGTGCTGTAGTTCCTATAGCCCAACATTAGCCACCTTTAGCTTAGCGGTGGTGACGTGAAGTCATGTGACCGTGCTGTAGTTCCTTTATAGCCCAACATTAGCCTCCTTTAGCTTAGCGGTGGGGACTTGAAGACTCTTCACACAGTTTACCTAATTTCTCCGTGGCCTCTGCACTCTTCACGGCCCTGAATTCCTCAGTTTGGATCTGAAGAAGTGATCTTGTTGACAGACACTCTGACACGTTTTGGAAAAGGTCAGCTGAGGACTGCTGAAGGCCTGAAGCCTCGTCCATTACTTCACCTTCAAACTGCGTCACCTGATATGATACTCGATGCTGACCCGTCATGGAGGGGATAAGATAAGATGCTCTCTGGCTGTCTTTGGGCTCCGGTTGCATTCCTTAAAGTTGTCTGTCATTCAAATTGTTGGGAGAGTTTACTGCGCTCAGGTCATCTGTCATAACACAACAAATTAGCTGCAGGTAGAGATTCATCAGCCTCAGGTGAAGGTGCTCAATTTTTCAACATGTAGTGCTTTATCAAGATAATTAATGGATGCAAACAGTCAGGGATTTGTTGTTCTTATCACTCACGGATAACATGTTAATCCATCATTTGGTGACATATTCTGATATATTTTGGACAACCCTTTCGGTAATCTGCACCTAATCTGAGTGTCAAATGCAATGCAAATAAACACAAGAGATCAGAAATATCAATGAGATGTTTTTTACTGAAGTGTATCATCCAAGACAACAGATCAATGTGACCTTAGAAAAGAAGAAAGCAAGATATTTAGGATCAGAAATGATTTATTGATAGGAAAATCTGCCTTTCATGAAGCAGACTCAGCCTCTACACCAGGTGTGTCCAAACTACGGCCCGGGGGCCAAATGCGGCCCGCGG